TTCAGTGGATCGAGTTTAGACTGCTGAACTAAATCGCTAATGCGTAGGGCCCCAAAGAAAGTGGTCAAGGCCGCAGCATGAAACAAGAGGCACTCGAACTCAGAGTCACAAATCTGAGTCCAGGTCCTATGAAGGCCCTTGAGAACACTAGGGGGGAAAGGCTGTCACAGGTCCTTCTGAGATCCTGAGGCATCCTGGTCGGATGTAGCTCTGCCTCCAGGGCAAGTTGGCGAAACCTCTCCATCTGTTTGCGAGACAGAGCATCTGCCATCCCATTACTGACCCCTGGAATGTTTTTGGCAAGGAAGAGAACATTCAACTGCAAACAGCATAACAAGATACTACGAACAAGGCCCATGACCCTGGGGGAAGTGGACGTCAATGTGTTGATGACTTGCACCACCGCCAAGTTGTCACACCAAAAGTAAACAGCACTGTTAGCTAAGCGGTCACCCCACAGCCATAAAGCCACCAGAATTGGAAAAAAAACTCTTAAAAGGTTAGATCCCTACATATATCGCCATGCAGCCAATCCGCGGGCCCCTCTTCTGCACACCAATGCCCTTGAAAATACACCCCAAATCTGATGGAACCTGCTGCATCAGATGTAACCTGCAGACCACCCTGTATGTGGAGGTCCTCCCTCCAAAAGGAAACCCCATTAAACTGGGTCAGAAAACTCTGCTAGACACGCAAGTCCTCCCTCATCCCACAGGAAATCCTAACCTTGTGATGTGGCTTTTTGAGGCCAGACATGGCCCCGCAAAGTCTTCGCAGAAAAGCCCTCCCAGGGGCCACTACACAACAAAATTTAAATGGCCCATGAGCTTCTGCAACTCCAATAAGGAGGCTTTTTTCCTTGACAAGAAGTCATCCACCTGTTCGTTTAGCTGACTCAACTTGTCAGCTGGTAGGCGTGACGTACACTGTACTGTGTCCAGCTCTATACCCAAGAAGGTTAATGTGGAAGACAGCCCTTCAGTTTTCTCGTGAGCCAGTGGGACGCCGAGCTCGCCAGCTAACTCCATAAAGATTTGGAGCAATCGCTGGCACTGCCCAGACCCCGCCAGCCCCACAAACAAGAAATCAAGATAGTGCACGACCTTCTTAAGCCCAGACTTTGTCTGCAGTGCCCACTCAAGAAAAGTGCTGAATCTTTCAAAAGCTGAGCATGAGATCGAGCAACCCATGGGGAGAGCCCTGTCCACATAAAACTGACCCTCAAAGGCGAAGCCCAACAGGTCAAAATCCCCAGGATGGACTGGTATGAGTCAAAATGCTGACTTAATGTCGCATTTTGCCATCTCAGCTGCAGGACCCCATTTACGTACGATCCGAACCGCCTGATCAAACGACGTATACCATACAAAGCAAAGCTGCTCTGGGATAGCGTCATTGACCGAGTCACCATTTGGAAAGGACAAGTGATGTATCAGGCAAAATTCCCCTGGTGCTTTCTTGGGTACGACTCCCAAGTGGGACACTCTAAGCATGGGCACTTACCTGGCAAGGGAAACACCTTGATCACGAAGGAGGTTTTCCCAGGGTGAGGCTCATCCATTGCACTTCGGGTGTGCTGACCCCTGCGATTTCCCCAAATGCGAGAAACTCGACTGCATAATTTGTGGTAGTGGGGGACTGCGTTCGTGCTTTCCAAAAAAAATAAAAATAAGCATGGGCACAGGAGATGAGCGAAAGGGGCCAAGGATCCTCCCTTCTTCACATTCCTTCTTTATCTTATCCCTTACCACCTGCTCTAAGCCCTGCACTGACTTGAGATTGTTGGCCATAAAAGCCCTTATGGTGCCTACATAAGGAATCCTAAAAACATTAGAAAAACCCTTCAACAAGTACCAACTATCTACAACATTAGGATAAAAACCTAACCAATGTTTAAGCTGAATCAGGTTTATAGGGCTGGGACCCTTTTTCCAACCTCTGGGGAGACGGGCCACCTCCGCTTGTCCTCTTGTTCCCCAGTCTGTGCTTTGCCCTCCCTTTCCCGATGCCATCTTGCACGAGGCGGCACGCAACAAAATGGCGCCTGGCACATTACTTGACCATGCCTAACCCGCTCACAAAGCTGCTGAAGCAAAGCGACCTGAGACCCCGCGGCCTGTCGAGCCCGTTAGTGCAGACAAGACCAGACCTCATCCGATATGCAAGGAAAAAAGGGGAGGTTGAGAAGTGGAGGGGGGGTTGAGCTACCCCTCTGAGGGGGGGCGGAGGGAAGCGCACACAGTGCCACTCTCTCCCACTAAGTACACTAGCTCAACGCCACCTGCAGAATCCACAACCCACAAATCCTCCAAACCATTGAGACAAAGACTCTCAAAGCCCGAAAAGACCACGTCGGAGAGACCTTCTTCTCGCCGACCGATTCCAAAAGAACTGCCCCGATGGGAGGTGGTTCAGCGATTACATTCAGAAAGCCTCTCCCATCCCAGATACCCGTATGGGCAGGAAACTCCACCAACAGTCTCCCTCATTCCAAGCCTGCAAAGTAGTCCTTCCCTCCTTACACAGACTTTCAGGCTGCCGTCGGGTAGAGCCTTATTGCTGTTAAAACTGGAAGACTGGATGGTTGAGGAACAAATTCTCCATCTGGCTCAAGCAGGTTTTCGGAAGGGCCTTGGTACAATCTGTCACTGCCAAACCCTTTACCAACTGGTGTGTTCTGGTTTAAATAGACCAACAAAGGCTCTTTATGTAGCATTTGTTGACCTGGCTGCAGCATTCGATTCTATAAATAGGGACCGCCTTTGGTCAAAGTTAGCTAAAATGAACGTTGAGAGGTGGTTATTACTGCTCATTCGAGAGCTACATATACTTCTGCCCAAATTAGAGTGGCAAGTTCTGGCTCTTTAACCAGTAGAATTCCTATTAGCAAAGGTGTGAAACAGCATTGTGTGCCGGCTCCATCGTTATTTAATTTGTACATCAACGACATAACAGAGATTCTCTCAGGTCCACAATTTTTCCCTCCAGCATTGGGTTAAAAAAAAACATCTCAGTTCTTCTTTATGTGGATGATATGGTTTTAATATCCATAACTAAAATTGGTCTGAGAAGACTTCTACATCAATTAGGGAAATAATGTAGTGAGGAAGCGCTTAAAATAAATTACACAAAGACCAAAATTATGGTCTTTAGGAGAAAACCTAAAATCTCTCGATGGACTATTCTTAGCAACCCTATCGAACAATGCAAAGTATTTAAATACCTAGGAGTAGGGATGTGCTTTCGGTTTGTCCAAACCGAATGCACCCCCAAAAATGGCCCATTTGGACCCCTTTCGGGCTGCTGCAGGCCGAGAGAATCTGAATCGGCTTGCCGCCGTATTTCGGCAGCAATTCAGCCCCATTATATCCTTTTTTCCCACCATAGAGAACAATTGAGGGGCTAGGGGCAACCTGTTTGAGGGTCCGTAGAATTGGACCCCCTGGTCCAATGCTCTTGAAACTTCGTTGGTATCTTGGGGAGAGGCTCTAGCAGCTACCTTGCAAGTTTGGAGTCTTTCCCTCAAGCCCCCTCCCCTCCAGCCCCCAGAATATACCGTATGTTTTCGCCATTGACTTCAATGGCCCATAGGATATAATGGGGCTGAAATTGACATTCGGTTGGCTGAAAGACTCCCAAATCAGCTGCTACTGACGAAACTGACATGCAGGAGTCTTACTGCCAGCCAAAATTGATTCTGCCAGATTTGGCCAAATCCGAATGGGCCGAATTATTTTATTTTTTTTTGCACACCCCTACCTAGGAGTAACCTTTAAGGAGACTCTGAATTGGAAAAATCATCTCACATCATTAAAATCTTCTACATTAAGAATGGTAGGATCAATCGTTCATTTTTTCCACACAAAGGGCAGATGTCTGATTGATCCGGCACTGAAATTATTTATTAGCAAGGTCATCCCTCACCTCTTATATGGAGCTGAAGTTTGGGGCTGGAAGGAGGATATTGTGGCTAACTTGGAGGTAACCCAAAACCAATTTATAAGGTGAATCTTAGCCTTGCCCAGAGGCACACCCTCATCTTTGATGAGAGCTGAACTGGGACTCCCCTCTCTTATGGCCTGGGCACATCTGGCTGTCTTAAAATATTGGGGGGGGGACACACCTCCGAGAGCCAACTCTATAAGCCATCAAGCAGATAACCTCCACTTTGTTAAAGATCCTACTCATTCTAACTTTCTCAACACCATTATCCAAAGATACACCATCCCAGATGATCTTCTCAGGGCCTCAGCTGAGATTTCACGATTTAGGGACTGGATATATGATGCTGATGCGCTGATCGACCGTTGTCTAATTATGAAATCTAAAGTGGCTCCCTGGTATAAATACCATTGCAGGTCGAGTTACCTAGTTAACATCTCTAACTACCATCTCAGAGTGTCTTTTACAGCCTTACGATTTCAAACTAAGCAAACAGCTCTTCTGGCTGGCCGTTATTCGCACACTCTAAAAGAGCAATGCTTCTGCATTTTTGGTTTGCCAGTGGTGGAGAACCTTCCTCACTACATGCTTTACTGTCTGCTATATAGCACTCCAAGAGAGAAAATTTTAGCAGGATTTCTATCGGCCATGCAAGCTTACTTAGAAGCTGAAAAGATTGCGTTCTTGCTTTCAGCGAATGATTCTTATCTATCCCACAGAGTCTCCTTGTTCTTTAGCAGCATCTAAGGTTAGATCTAAGGGGCAGGTTACTTGAAGGTGTCCAAATCTGTATTATCTTTTTATTAATGATTGGTAGTCAATTTTAACCTGGATTGTAATAGTGGTTTTTAACTTTTTATCAGTGTTTCACTGTATTCTGTATTTTGTAATGGCCAATGGCTTTATACAATAAACCTCTACCTACCTACCTACCTACTCCAGCTAAGGGTTCCTCAGTTAGATTTCCTCAGTTAGATTTCCTTCCCAAGAATGTCTCAAGAATGCAAGCTCCCACCCTCATTGGGAGCTGATCCACAAGCTTCTTTCTTCCTTTCCAGGCCATGAACTACGCTGGTTCCCCCTCTGTCCCTCTCATGATTGGTTGCGCTGTTTCCTGTATGGCTTTGCTGACCCTGCTGGTGATCTATGCCGCCTTTTGGAGGTAGGTTGGCACCTTCTGTCCACCCCATGCCATGATTCGATAGAAGTGGCTGTGTGGACTGTGATCTGAGCTAAATGTGGTTCAGTGGACTTCCCCCTAATGCACCACAGATAGATCCAAATAAAGAATAGTGGAAGGGAGTTTGCGCACAAGGAGGAAGGATCCCTCTGAGTGTTCCTGATTTGGGGCAAAGTAGCATCTATGCTAGATCACAGTAGCACTGAGATTGGGAGGGGCAGAGGCCACCTGAATCTGAACTAAAATCACATTGTTGCACAAATCTGAATTGTTAGTCCACAGTTTTGATGCTGAGCCAATTGAAGTCCAGTAGCACTTTAGAGACAAACAAGATTTCTAGGGTATGAGTGTTCAAGAGTCAAAGCTCCCTTCTCTTTAAAACGTACACCCTGGAAATCTTGTTGGCCTCTCAGGTGCTCCTGGACTCAAGTTTTGCTCTTCACCTGCAGACCAACATGGCCACCCACCTGAAACTGAATTCTGACATTGGTCACTTTCTGGTTTTGGTCACTGAGAATCGGGATGAGGCTGATGGTTGAGGCCCGATTAAAAATGGCATCTTTAGTTTGTTGGTAAATTTGGGGGCCACAATGCAGAGTACTGACTCTTCAAATTCATGGTTTGTTTGTCAAAGCCTTTTCATTCAATAACATACCTTGAGTTGTTGTTGTTGTTTTTAAAGAAAACTAATTGCTAGAATATGAATTTGAATGTTGGCAAATCAATTTGAGTTTAGAGGCCTTGCTTGAAAGTTAAATTAATTTTTGCTGTAGACTCAGGAAAAGGTGTATTTCTTCCCACTCATTCAACGCACACCTGTGTGTAGATTGTGAATATAGTCTGCATTAATTCTAGAAGGGTCACTGGGGTCCCGGTCACACATGCTGAAAAACGCAGGGGGGGGAAGCGAGCCTATTTGCACCACAGCAATTTGACCCACCACTGCGTGATCAGACACAGCGGCGGGTGAATCGGGGTTGTTTCTTCGCCGCGTGTTTCCGGCGCGCTTCATCGAGGGATCAGTGACACAATCTGAGCGCGCTGGAGCGATCACACGGGAAACTCCATCTGCGGCCTGTCGCAACCCATTTGAGACTGCATTTCCCCAGGTATTTTTTAACTCCGCATCTTCGGCGAAGTGAGAAGGGTTGCCGACAGGTGCAGGATGCTTGCCAGATGTTCCCGTGTGATCGTGCCGTTAAAATCCGCCCGGCAGTCGTTTCTCTCGTGCGGCTACTTTTGCGTGTGATCAGGGCCTGTGTTAATTTGTTGCAGCAAAAATAAACATGAGTCTTGTGGAACTGTACACACTGGCTTTAAGGTGATACAAGACTCATGTTTATTTATTTTGCATTAGTGACTTCGAAAGGAAACCAAGGAGGTATCAGCTACTACAAGTTGGCCAATAGATGAGGAAGCGCCTACATATGTGTGGAAAGTGCTGTCAAGTCGCAGCCAACTCATGGCAACCGTGTAGAGTTTTCAAGGCAAGAGATGTTCAAGAGATGCGTAGCAGCCCTGGACTTCCTTGGTGGTCTCCTATCCAAGTTCTAACCAGAGCCAACCCTGCTTAGCTTCCAAGATGTGATAAGACAGGCTAATTTGAGCCATCCAGGTCCGGGCAGCGTCAATATATAGGTACCTTTTAAAGATTACCCTAGTGCCACAGGAGGCATTTTGCTGTAGGTACCTTCATGCTTAGAAGTTGATTTCAAGGGACTTTCTCCCAGAGTCAGCACACCACTGGTGGTGTGTGTGTGCGCACGTGCACACACGCTGATTCTATGGAAGACATTGTGGGTCTTGTTGCAATACAGCCATGAAACCAACCCACCAAAAAGAAAAGACTCTCCCAGAGTTACACCCCAGATATCTCTCATCACAGCCCCTCTACCTGCCTTCTATACCTTGCAGGTTTATCAAGTCAGAACGGTCGATCATACTTCTGAATTTCTGCGTCTCCATTTTGGCTTCCAACGTGTTGATTCTGGTGGGGCAGTCCCAGATGCTCAGTAAGGTGAGAAGACTCACTTCCTTTTGTCTGCACATCATGATGCTTTGCTTCTCTCTCAGAGCATGCTAGTTCATGCAGCTTTCCTGTGCTGTTTAGTTCTCAAGCCCTGTTCACATGTTACAGTGACTGCAAATACATCCTGCCTATACATTTGTGTGTAAAAAAGAGCCAACATTTGTTCACTTTACAAATGAAACCCGGCAGGGCTCTTTTTGTAGCAGGAACTCCTTTGCATATTAGCCCACACACCCCTGATATTCTCCAGCCACAAGGGGCCTGCCATCCTCTTGACAGAGCTGTCATTTTTCAAGAAGAGCAAAAAAATAGTAGCATCCAGATAGAGAGAGGTCAGGAAAGAAAGGAAAGACAGGAGTCCCCTAAAGCCCTCCCTTGGAAGAAAATGAGCTACAAACTGACCAAGAAAATGAGCTACAAACTGACCAAGCCAAATGAGCTACAAACTGACCAAGCCTTCTTACAGGAGCTACTGTAAGCTCTTGGAGGATTGGCTACATTAGGGATGTGGCGCTTAATATGCAAAGGAGTTCCTGCTACAAAAAGAGCCTCCAGGGAACAATACCAGGAAAAATGTGTGCTTGCAGTATATGTGTTGAACGGAACATGAGAATTACTCAACATCTGTATAAAGGAAGAATCAAGTATATGCTGTAAACATATTGTACATGCATTCAATGTAATTTGTGAATAGGGCTTTCGACGTAGTAGGGGTTAAGGTGCCAAACTAGGATCTGGGAGGTCTGGGTTCAAATCCACACTCAGCTCTGAAGCCTATTAGGCCACCTTGCACCATTTACATGCTCTCATCCTCACATACCTCACAGTGTAGTTGTGAGGATACAGTGGCAGCAGCTAGGAGAATGATGAGTTTCTTGCACAAAGGGAGGGATAAAAATGAAATAAATAATCACATCTTTTCTGCCAAAATGAAACAAAAATGAATTGGGCACATTTTCAAAAATTTGGACACAGTGTTTAGAATTTGAATCCAAAATGTTACCTTATGAAATCTGCAAGGTTTAATTTCAGAGTCTGATTTTGAGGCGCTTCTTAAATTCAGGATTAAGAGTCTGATTTAAGGCTACAATCCTGTGAGATATAAATATACCATCTCCTATTCCCCCCCCCCCCCGTAAAATCCTTAAAAGAGCATCCATGGACACTATATGTTTAAAATTCAAAGATCATTGGTTATATCCGTTTTACAAACATATGCAGTTCCTCTTCTGTGTCCACATGGCCAAGCGGCATTCATTGCTTCTGTTCTGTCCATACCCTCCCTCCTCATCTTCCTTTGTCACCTGACAATGGCACTTGCCTTAATTTCAGTGACTTCACAAACAGTGCAAGAGAACCCTAGACCTGGATTGCATCCAGCATAACTGATCTAAAGTGGCTCTGATTGAAATCTGTAATTTTCACCCACATGTTTGAAGAAACAGACAGGATAAAATGCACATCTCTTCACAACGGTGCCTCTTTGGACTGGTTCCCGGGTGTCGTAATTCATGAAAAGGCAGATTCATCCAATTTCAGCTTTATCACTTTGGCCTCTTGAAATTTTGCTGGTGGAGAATTTCTCTGCATCTCCAGTTCCCGGCCTTCCAGGCAGTCAAGGCTTGGCCTAGCATCTGCTTCCCCTGTCAAGATTCATCACCGCCCCTTGGAACGATCAGAGTCAAACCAATCCAATCGCTGGTAGCTTTTAAGAGAACCTTGTTCCCTTTTTTATTTTTAGAAAGGATGAGTTTATTTGAGAGGGTTTATTTCCCAGGTGGGCAGTTGGAATTGTTGGTGAGTTTTCCATTGTGGGGGATTTTCGTTTCTGAGGGACATGGTGGCACACTAGCACCCACAACAAATTATTATAATGATTCATGTCTAGAGCACTGCTCATTGGCATGTCACTGACAGAATGATAGGGTCCTGCCCCAGAAAGCTGACAATCTTCAGTGTCACTGGGGGGGGGGGGGGGGGGGGGGGTCAGAACTAACAATGAGTGGGGTGAAACAATCTGTGCAGATTAAAGGTTCTTGGCCAATGGTGGACTGGTTGGAGGAGACCAAGGTCCCTCCCAGCCAAACATTCTGCTTCCATCAGAAGCTGAGCAAGCTGGGGCAGGAGTGGAATCAGGCTTTGGTATACCTAAACATTAAGCCTCTGTGCATAGAAGGACAGAGGTTTCCTGGGTCTGGCTATGGGGTTTTGCAGAAGAAATCCCATGGCCAGATCCATCAGTGCTCTTCCTGTGTACATCTCTGCAGAATTTGAGGAGTGTTCCCAGGAACCACTGCTGGCTTCTCTCTGGCTGCGTCCCTGAGGGTGACAGAGCCAGGCAGCAGCTGTTTGCGGATGAGTCATGCTTAGTGAGAGAGAGCCTGTCCTTGGATGTTTGTCTGCATGGAGGAAATTGAAATATTTGCTTATCTGCAGCCTGTGCAACCAGGAAGAAAGCAGGGAGTGTGGCTCAGGAGAAGAGAAAAGGAAGAAACAGCTTCCGCTGGAACTGCCTTTGTTTATCAGAGGGAGAGAGAAAGCGTACAGTTGTTGTGTGCATTCAGAGGAATTTGGTATCGGGTGCAGAATTCAGTATCTTAGAGTATTGCTGCTTTTCACTCATTCGTGAAGAGCTAGCTTCTAGTCCTCATGGCTGGGAATGAAGTCTTTCTAGGTGGGAGGAACTGAATGTCAGGGAAGAGAATAGGCTGGGAAAGGCTTCCCGTGGTCAATGGGGATTTCAGTGGTCTGCAGCATGCTGCCCCCAACCTCCCTCCATGCTCCATCTCAGAATACCCAGGGTAGATTAAATCAGATAACATGAGCAAGATCTGTTAATTGATTCATCCCCCCCCCTTTTCTGTCAAAGCAAAATTTAAAGATGCTTTTTTTTTAGCACAATGAAAGCACGTAGCTTGAACTGTGGTTTTCCAGAATTGCTCACAACTGTCGCTTAACTTTTGTGTACCTATTTTAATTTGCAGAAGTAACTTCCCAAATGGTTATGCTCTGACTCCATGACCCAAGTCTCTCAGCTCAGTGTCAGACTCTACCCATTGCTTTCACAGCTCAGGTGTATCGTGAGTTGTGTCACACAGGTGGGTTTGAACCAAGTTCTGGCCCAACCAAAGCCCCTTCCTCTGAACTTAGAATTTCAGACTGAGGGTGGATGGGGGTTTCTGAAGCGGAGCCTAGTGCTGTAGGGGACATTCATTAAATGAATGGTGACCCTAGTATAGCCTGTTAAACACCCCCAAGTCAGCCAGACCCCAGTTTTGCATTTCTTGAGGCCTCTGTTATGTCAAAGGAGATATTTACAGGCTCCTTACCTTATCAGAGGCCATGGGCTCTTTGGAAAACCTCGCTATGCCATATCTCTTTGCACGTGATTGAAATGGACTGTACAGTTCCCAAATCTGCTTTGCAGCTTTGGGTTCCCTTTATCACTACTTCATCTCTGTATACTGACACAGTTGTCTGGCAGAAGCCCAGACGTTTCTTCTTTTCTTCCGTTTCTCTTCCATCAGATATAAGCCACCAGGGATTGGTCACACCTGCCATTTAGATAGCCCTGTGTTACATTCTTCCCTCTATCCAATTCCTTGTAGGGTTAGAACGGGCTTGAGAAAGCATCCCAGGGTGCATACCCTTTTGGTTGGTCCTCCTGTTGTCCCAAGTCAAACAGGTCTGGCAGGTTTTGAAGCTCTACAAAAACCTGCAATGCCTGTCTGACCAGAGATGAGCACAGGACAGGAATCCCATCATCAGATCTGAGTGGGAGGAGTAGAATTTCAGGTCTTCATTCTGTTTCTTTGCATTCTCATGCAAAGGAGTCTGTGGGCCAAGCATCTCTTCCTGCATTCTCATCTTTGCACTTAACAGTTCTCTGTGTTGCGTTCCCTGCCTCCAGCCCCTGCTTGATATTTGAGCATGGTTACAGGAAGATGGGAGTGTGCTCTTGCCGCCAGGCAGCACAGGCGTCACTGTGCGCCTTATTGGCAAGCAGCCTCGTGCATAATAGATCAGCACCCAGCAGCATTTTCCCTTCATGTACCACAGATATCAGGAGCTTGGAAAGCATGTCATGGGTGCGGGGAGAACAAGGAGGGGACATGTGTGCTTCAGAGGAGCTGCTGGTGTATCTGCGTGGATGCAGAGTGTGTTTTGCCAAATAAAATCCTTGTCAGCCTAAGTGGCTGGTGGGGGAGGGGTGCATTTTTGCTTTGGGCACCTGTCTGGAGACAGGCGATGTTTTTTATTTCGCAGAGACAGTGGCACAATAGAGCTACTGTAGGCAATTGGGTGTATGTTTAATCCTATTTTGTCACAGATTTGGCAGAAAGTAATCCTAAACAGATCCTCAGAATACTGCCCAAGTCTATTCAGTGGGGTTTACTCAAAAAAAGTGTACTTAGGATGGCACTGGAAGTCAAATAAAAAACCCACATAGCCACAGAGGAATGCAAAAACTGAGCTGGTAAGAGTCAGTTCAGTGTAGTGGTTAGGGTGCTGGAGAAAGATCAGGGATGCCCAGGTTCAAATTCCCATTCTCTGCTATGAAACTTTGTTCACCCTCTGCCAATCTTACCTGAAAAGGGAGGAGGGGAGAACTATGTGTGCCATTCTGCACTTCTTGCAGGAAGGGTGGGATAAAAATGTGACGGCTAGATTGTGTTCTTCAAGGGGCAGTAGCCTTTGTAGCTTTCCCTCTCCTCTACAATATTGATGTACACCTCCACGTTGATGAAACACCTCCCCAAAGCTCTCTGAACATGATTTATTTACGATTGCATCCAGATCCTTTTTTTGCGTGATGTTGTACAAATTCAGGAATGCGTCGAGTAAATCATCGCTTAAGAATCTTAATGTAATCATATGAATAATCGTCAAAAGACTGCCTTTTGCAAGGTTTTGTCACGGTATACACATGCACATCGATAATGCAGAGGAGGAAAAACAGGTGCAAATGAACTGGAGGTTCCCGATGCTTTCGTTCCAGAATTTGTTTGAGAAATTTGATTAATTAGCCTATAGAAAGTCTATATGCAGATCTTCTGAAATAATAAATGAACCAAGGTGGTAGTCTGAGAAATGTCTGGCCGGGCTTTGCGAAAATGTCTTGCAAAAAGCCTCACTGCATGGCTGTGGCTGGAAAATACTGGGGGGGGGGGGGACATGACCAGTTGAGCTGGCTGTTGTGGAAGCCCAGGGCCAAACTACATGAAATGTATTTTTTAAAGAATGAGTCAGGTCTGATTTTGCCCCTCTTTGAAGCTGTGCATGCAAGATTCCTTGCATATGCATCAGCAAAAAGGGCAAAATAACCACCTCAGGGCCATTTCAGTTTCAGTAAATGGCACGGGGAGGAGGAGGCAGAAGCCCCTCCTCCCCCCCTGCTGTGGTTCTGAGCTGAATCAGGCCCCCAGCAAGTTTTACATGGGCATTCCCCACAGCTGTTGTGTGGCTGCAAGGAAAGCAAGTCAGGTTTGGGGAGCCAGGACCCTGCTTGTTAAATATCATTTTGCATAGTTCAGCCCACTGGGAGTTTTCAATAGAAGGGAGACTGGTGGGGACAGCCTGTGCTTTTCAGCATGGTGGCATATGAACTCCGTACACACTTTAGTGAATGACAGAAATTGAAAGGGACAATAGTTGTGTGGTTCACTGGGGCTTTGAAAGACAAACCTGCAGTGGAATGGGAGTGGGCTTCCAGTGCTTTTTGCATTCAGAACAGTTTTTAACTTGAGAAAGTTATTCTATGCAGACAAGTGAGTGGTTTGAGCCTAGAGGTTGTTGTCACAGTTGGGGGGTTCTGTGTGCACCGGCTTGGCGTAGTGGATAGAGTATCAGCCTAGAATCCTTGGAGACCTGAATTTGAATCCCCACTTCTACCATGGAAGCTTGCTGGGTGACCTTGGGCCTGTCACAAACTCTCAGCCTGGCTGACCTCACAGGGTTGGGGTGGGCAAACAGAGGAGGGGAGAAGGATGTTCTAAGCTGCTTTGAGTTCCAGCTGGGGAGAAAAGCAGAATTTAAATGCAAAACTGAGCATTCGTGTGCCATGTGTCCAGGCTATTTGTGGCATATACATTGCAGCGAGGTCAAAGCCAGAGTGACTTGCCACATCAAAAATAGACTCCCCTTTTCAGTACCAGTCACGGATGCATTTGGGTTCTTTCTCTGCTCTTCTTCTCTGTGCCATTTTGTTTTTTGTGCCTTTGGGGTCAGTCTCATTTGAACATGTGGACACTGAATTGTCTTGGTTCTGATAAGCATGTCACCGATTTCCCAGTGTCATCTTATCCTTACATTGGACTTATGGGTACCATGAACTTTGCAAGCAATGCTGTGGCTTGAGGCTGAGGTTGAGACTGGCTCCCAGTCTTATTTCAGCCCAGAATTCAGCAGTGGGCTTTAAACAAGCTACTAATCTCGTGTGCCTCACATTGAAAGTATGAGGATAATAAGGCTGGCCTCCCCTGACAGGATTAATGTAAGACTTACTGAGCTAAGGGGTGTGAAATACTTAGAATGTTGAGAGTGGCATGTCTGCCTTTGACCTCAGTCTCCCATCAAAAGTGTACCTTCTCAAGGGGTCTAACCAGTCCTTTGCTCAAAACCTCCTGAAGCCGTTCCATATGACTCTGGCTTTCTTTCTCTGTCTCCAGGGTGTCTGCACTATGACAGCTGCTTTTCTCCACTTCTTCTTCCTCTCTTCCTTCTGCTGGGTGCTGACCGAGGCCTGGCAATCTTACTTGGCTGTTATTGGCAGGATCCGGACACGCCTCGTCCGTAAACGCTTTCTCTGCCTCGGGTGGGGTAAGATGCTGTTGCCTTTCTCATGCGGTATCCTAATGACTTCTCCTTTGGTCTGGCAGGTCCAAGAGGTGTTGTGCAGAGAGAGAGCCACCACAGGGCCATGTGTCCGGTGCATGAATGCACACCACTGATCTCTGGGTGATTTGCAGGTGCAAGTGAACCCATCACCCATCTAACAATACAGGTGGAGTTTCCATGATGCCCACACCATGATTTTTTCAGCGGAAACAGCAGTCAGAGGGCAACAGAACCAACTGCCTGTGTGAGCAAGTCCGATTCTTGGCCAAGATAAATGACAGGAGCCTCCACACCCCTCACTTTGGTGTCATGAGGAGTTTCACGTAGGGGAAAAGGAAGGAAAGAAAAGGGACATTTCCTCCGAGAGCCACTCATAACAGTATGGCCACAGAATTAGACCGACACTGAGTGAGTGTCTGGCAACTCCCCCTGATTGGCATTGTGTGAGATTCTCCCTTCAAGGCTGCTTCGCCATCCAATCTGCACCCTCATTTGTTTCTTTCCTATCCAGGATTACCAGCCTTGGTGGTTGCTGTCTCCGTCGGCTTTACTCGGACCAAAGGATATGGAACATCCAGCTAGTACGTTCTGGGAGTGAGTGTGTGGGTGTATGCTGTCTTTGTCCTCTTAAAAGTGGATTGAGGGAGGACAGAAAGGCTTCAGTGGGGACCCCCTGCACTCCTGGCGCACTCAGGCATGTGGTCTCCAGAAAGAAAAATGGTGAAGGCAATTGACCTTAACATCTTAGTCACCCTAACCTCTCGTTGCCAAAACAGTGCCCCCCACAATTGTCAATGGTGAAGATTACTGGGATTTCTGTAAAGCCCATCCACCCTGGAGGAGAAGCATCTGGTACAGAAGTAAGGTGGATCTAGTAGTTTAGGGGCTGACAAGAAGCACCCCACCAGCTATATGTTCATTTCTTGGGTCAGGAAGCCATCTGTCAGCTGCTTAGCATGGTTCTTGCATTGAAGCAGACTGCTCAGAGATGTGGTGCCAGCAGAAGTGGGGGCTTCAGTTCCCTAGAAAAGGAAGGGGAGAGCAAAGATGGTGGGATGGGGGATCTTTTGGTTGGGGAACCCCCCCCACTACATTTATAGACCATCTGCAAGAGTCATGTCCCTTGTTGGATTTCCTGGTACTTTGGCGGTGACAAGGTCAACCTTCTCTCCCCAGCTGCTGGCTGTCCCTTGAAGGGGGGCTGCTGTATGCCTTCGTTGGCCCAGCTGCCGTGATCGTTCTGGTAGGTGCTCAGCAGCCGTCCCACGGTGTAGATAATCTAGCTCAGATGCTTATCGGATGTTTCCATTTCATTGCCCCTTCTGTGGATGTTCCAAGAAGCCTGTCAGAGAACATCCATCATGGACTCCAGTGTGCTGATACGCCACTTGCCCTAAGGCCACACGTACCCAAATAGGGTTGAGCAGTAATGGGGCTGTACGGTCTTTCTTTCCAACTTTTGAGTCTGGCTGTAAAGTGCAGGGGTTTGTGAGAGTTAGCATGCTTGGAAAGCTCCCAGTTCCAATCTCACTTCAGGCAGGTTAACGTAAGCAAGTCTCTAACGCTGGTCTACCTGGCCAGGTCATTGTAAGGATTGACAAAATAATATCTGAAGCTCCAGGAAAGTTGAAAAATGTGCTGTATTCATGCTTAGTCGTATTATTATTAGAAAACAAAAAATGAGAGAGTGATTACTTTGAATGTATTCAGGGCACAGGGTGATTTCTCACGAGAGCTGCCTCGCAGCACAGCGCCGTTTGCCTTGACACAAACGTGTCAATTTCACACCCGAAGCTCCGGGGCTGCATTTGACTCGGGGCTTCCTGATTTCCTCTGCAGTTTCATGATCCTCAAAAACCAGGATCACGAAACTGCGGAGGAAATCGGACGAAGCCCCGAGACAAAATGCAGCCCCGAAGCTTCGGGTGTGAAATTGACACGTTTGTGTCGAGGCAAACGGCGCTGTGCTGCGAGGGAGCTCTCGTGAGAAATCACCCACAGTTTCCCAGCACTTGAACCATCTAGGATTGTTAGCTAGGCTCCCAGGTCAAAGGCAGTTGTGAGCCCCAAATAATAACTGAGTGTTGTAATAATAACTGAGTATTGCAACCAATTTATGGTGACCCCCTGTGGGGTTTTCAAGACAAAAGATGAGCAGAGATGGTTTGCCATTGCCTTCTTCTGCATAGCAACCTTCAACTTCTCGGGTGGTCTCCCATCCAAGTACCAACTGTGGCCAACCATGCTTGGCTTCCAACCTCTGATGAGCTTGGGCTGGTCCTGGACTATTCAGTCTGCTACTGTGAGCCCCTCTCTTTTTAGACAGGCACCGTAGTCAATTTTGTGCCCATGTCAGACTCTGCACTAGATCCCCTCAACCCACATTCTGTTTTTTGCCAGGTCAGTTGTGTGAAAAGTTCTGCAGTTTCTGCTTTGCAAATTTTCTCTCTCACCTTTGCCAGGTCAACATGCTGATTGGAATCATCGTATTCAACAAGCTCATGTCCCGTGACGGCATCTCGGATAAGTCCAAGAAGCAGCGGGCAGGGTGAGTCCCCTCCTCCTCCTCCTCTTCTGCCACAAGCATCCTCCAGTCCCAGCCCTGGGCCCTGAGGACATTTTAGGTGAACAGGAGAAACAACCACACTGGTCAATAGAGAATGAGGCAATTCTGCCTGCAGCTGATATGCAAGAGAGGAGTGCTATTCCCATGCTGAGGCAGATGGGCAGCGTGACCCTCTCCCACTGGCCTTAATCTTTTAGCATTTTGCTGGTAATTTGTACTGGTGTTTCACCTGAGCACCTTCACATTGCATTTCACAAGGTGCTTCAGGTGCAGTCTGGTGCAATGTGAAAGGTAGGTGAAAAATATGCCCCTCCCCATTACCTTGCACAGAATTTGTATCAATCATAAACATGCCTCAAAATGCTTCCACATCTTTTTGCCATAACATCTTTACAATTTGCCCCATATTTGGCTTTGGGTAACACTTGGGGTCAACACTAGAGCTGATCTCTGGCTGGCATAGAAGTTGTGATTGGAAAGGCAAGGCCAGGGTGATTAAGAATCTCTTCTCCCCCCAGCACAGCTGTACACGCTCATAATGAGTGGCCCATGTGAGGGCTACTTAAAATGGGGCTCTCCCTAGTTCACAGGGGTGTAATGCAGTAGAAAACAAGGGTATATGGAATGATGTGAGAAAGGCCAGACTGAATTCTGGAACAAGCTAGGCTACCCAACCCAAGTAGCCTGATTCCTCCTGCCTATCTGGTCAGACATGACAAAGTCACAGGTCTTGTAGCTGATAAAGTATGGGAAAGGTTTATTGTGTTCTGAAAACCCCCGGTCACACAGGAGCTTGTTAATACAGTTCCACATGGCAAGAAGCTTCCCAGTGACTGTAGCAGCTGGCTATTCTAACAGCTACTACAGTTATCTGTCAAGAGCCTTGCTCTGAGAAGAGTCCGGCATGGCTGGCAGTGCTGGGTGAGCAGGCAGGCAGTGTCGAGAAGAGGTAGGAGGCTCTCTGCAGGTGACTAGCAGCTGTCAAAGCTGTTAGCCAGCACAGATGGGAACTGGGTTTTGGGCTGGGAATGGGAGTCTGGCAAAGATGCATTGCTAAGGCCACCCGTGGTGGCTCTGTCTGTACTTCTAGTTAGTTAAACATTTTTTTAAGTGTTTCCTGCTTTTGCCCTCCTATTTAAAAGCTCAGCGAGATGACCAAACTGGAAAAAAGGTATCAGCACTCCCAGTGCCCAGGCTTATGGTGGAAGGGACAGCTCTGCCTCCTTTAGCAGAAAATGCCACCCCAGTTTTTGACAGCAACTGCCAGCTCCATGTCGGGTGCATCTGCCATGTCACTTTGGGCAATAACTCTTCAGATTCCCTGAGCCACCTCATGAGTGGCTTCAGCTCCTTTCGTCGAAGGGGTGCAACAAAAAAACTTAGCCAGCACTGAAAGACAGAGAGCAAAAATGCACAGAGGGTGTCCAGCCAGTGCCTGTTGTGGAGGGAGCCAGCCCTCCTTGATGGAAATATTAAGAAAAGAGGATCAGGGAGGGGGGATTGACGCAGGCTATGTTCCTGCCTGCACCCAGTCCAAGAAGGAAGGTCCTGTGCCCATGGAACCCCATCCCTGAACTCCTGTGCCCGGAGAGGAGGGTGGAAGAGGCTGCCTTCAAACTTGCTTCTGCGTTGCTTCATGCTAGCCATTCACAACCTGTGCCTCCTACAACTAACCCAGCTTTCTCTCTCTCTCTCTCTCTCTCTCTCTCTCTCTCTCTCTCTCTCCCTCCCTCCCTCCCTCTCCCTCTCTCTCTCTGTGTTTTTTAATCCTTCTTTTCTTTTTCCCCATTTACCTCTCCCTCCCTGCCCTCCATTCTGTCTTGTCATTCCTTCACTTTTCATCAACTTTTTCCGTCTTCTCCTTGTCCTCCCTTTCCTCACCTGGGTGGGGGAATGCCATGGCATGGCACTCGTTGGGGGAACGGGATCCTCCCCTCAGCTTCAGGGATCCCCCATGCAGTGGCCTGCTGCTGAAATGCACCAAGTGCGGACTGGTCTCGACCACGGCCCTCCCCTCAGCCGTTGCCCGCAGCGCCATGTTAGTCTGCATCAGTGCCCCCATTTCACTCTGTTTTTCCCCCTTCCAGATCTCTCACTCTTTCTCTGCCTGTTTGCTTGATGCTGCATGTTGAGGGACATGGTTCTCCAGTGAGCCATACCTGAAACTTCTGCATTGGCACAATTTTGTCCTTTCTCATGCAAATTGCAAGTGGCCAGTATAACAAGCAGGGGCTACCCAGACTGGAAAAAAGTGAGTTGTATTTCATGAAGATAGGAAGCTGAGTGACCACTGGCCTTTTGAATACTGTCTACTCTGAGCAGTAATGTCTGTCCAAGATCTTGTACAGAGGTCCCTTTCAATCTCATTCTCTGAGATCCTTTAACTGGAGCTGCTAAGAACAGAGGCCAGGGCCTTCTCCATACAAAGGACATTCTTGGCCATTCATCCATAGGCTCCTGGCTTCATTTATCCAAATGAGAGCTAGACATAACAGTCCTAGTTTTCAGATTTAAACTTCCTCCTCTTTTGTTGAATCCCATTTAGAGCCACTTCCCACCCCAGTGACTGCTGCTTTCAGACTGTCCCAAACTACACACTGTCTCAAACAATCAGATATCTTCCAGCAAACAGGTTTTGCTATGTGGTGGTTTCAATGGCATTTCTACGAAAAATGTAACAGACGACCAAACTGTGTTGCTGCCCCAAATCTGCCACCTGTGCAAGGGCTGGCCCCAGTCCTTTGTTGGAAAGGCACTTCGTGATTGGGTTGGCATGCACACATATGGTATAACTTAGATAAACCACAACAAAACTTCCCAAATCGCATAATAAGAGGCCCTTTAATAAAAATTTGGGGAAAAAAATAAAAACAGATCTTACAATAAAATTCCGAAATGGATTTCCCCACTAAAGGCTTTTATAATGCCGGCATTATTAGATAATAGTAAAAAAGTGACATATGAAATGCTATTAAAAGAAAAAAAAATAAACTGAAACCATTTGAAATACTTGAAACAAAAAATATAAATCTCACTAATTGGGAAAAAATTCAACTAAAATCCAGATTTACTAAAGATAAAACATTAAATTTTATGAATTCCAAAACCCAATTAGATAAATTATGGCTTTCATCATCAGACAAGCTCATACAAAGATTGTATAACTATTTTCTGATAGAAGAAATACAAGAAGAAACAGTAAAACCAAATATGATTAAATGGATGCAAGATATAGGGTATAATATATCTTTAGGTGAATGGTCCAAAACCTGGAAATCTATGAAACTATTAAGAGCTGTGTCTTATAAAGAAAATATCTGCAAGATGTTCTATAGATGGCATTGGACTCCAGACAAACTCACCGTATTATAAAAATAGCTCCGAGATATGTTGGAGATGTAAAAACAATGTTGGAACATATTATCATGTTTGGTGGAACTGTGAAACTGTGAAAAAATTGCTAAATTCTGGAAGATTACCAAAAAAGTAATAGAAAAAATTACAAAGGTTAAATTGCTGCTGAAACCAGAAATCTTTTTACTCAATATCACACCGGATAGCATTAAACGAGATGATTTAGTAATCATACTGTATATACTTACCATGTCGAGAATATTAATTGCAAAACAATGGAAAAAGGATACGATACCCAATAAAGAAGAGCTAAGAGATAAAATTATTGAAATAGCTGAATTAGATAAACTGAATATGATTCTTTCAGGGAAAGATGAAACAATTTTTCAAAATATATGGCAGAAAGTCTTCCATTTGTACTTCCAACAAATGTATATGTATTACTCTTTTTGTTATTTTATGTAATAGAAAACGTAAACTTATTAAAAAAAAGAAGGCACTTTGTGATCCACAGCCACTTTGATTCCCTCCTTGCAGGTGGGAGTCAGTGCCCCATGCTCCACCCTGCACGGCAGGCATGATACCTTCCAGGCCCTCGGGCCATCCTTCCCTTGCCATCAGTGTTATCATTCTGCTCGCAGTGTCGCCGATGGCATCCAGGGAGACTCTGGAAAGAGGGCAGAGAAGCAAGGTGCCTGTGTATAGAGGGGGGGGGGTTAATTTTTAAAGACCTCTTTGCTGAAGAAGCACTTTAGAAAAAAGCATCAGCAGCCGTGCTGTGCAGATAGCCTGAGATAGAAATTGTTGTGGTAGCAGACAGAAAATGTACCTGTTTCCCCAGCTGGCCCCAGGGCCATGGGGGCACTTCCTTCTTTTCCTCTTCAAACGGAGTATTGTCATCAGCTTTTAAAACCAGCCCTGGTTCACTCCCACAGAGCCTTGCCATCTGTACAGATAATTTGAGCTTCTCCGTGCTCTTGCTCATTTGAATGGTGATTGTGCTCTCCCACTGGATCAGATTCGGGACATCAGCAAATTGCTGCACACGTCTTTGGCTTTGCATATGAACAAACTGGTTAAAGGTAGCAAACCTTTGGACTGTGTTTGGCAAATTGGCCCCTGCCCCTCTTTGCTTCCATCCATGTTTCTGCCACTGTTATCTTTTCCTGATTAAATTCCAGGGTACATCCTCTTGGTTTCCTCGCCTGTGCTTTAATGAGCCTCTGACAGCCAAGCGTAGCACAAGAGGAGACGTTAGAATTAAAAGATAGATCTAATTAATTGCGCGCATGAGCTGCGGCTTATGTCTCTCTCTTTCTCTCTCTCTCTCTCTCTCTCTCTCTCTCTCTCACACACACACACACACACACACACTGCATGAGAAGGACAGAAATGCAGACAGGAGAATCCATCACATCCAGAAAAGTTTCTATTTTGATCCCTCTGCTTGAAAAGGCAACGCCCATTCAGTTAAACACTGAAGCTGGAGTGTCCTGACTCTTCTCCCACCACATCTCTTGAAAGGTCATGGGATTTGTAAGGGGGAGAGGACAGAGGTTTTTGTCAGAACCTCTCCAACAATTGTTAATTGAAACAAAAATTCAGCCATATTCTTTTTCTAAGAAAAGCACTATACCTCTAATTTTGGTGGCTGTTTGAAGTACAAGTTCCATTTAATAGTTGGGACCCAGCTGAAGAGAGCGTGTGATACAGCACTCCTGCTAGGGCTATACCACTTTATAGTGTACTTTATTAATGTTCGCCCATGTCCAAAGCTTCCTGCACAGACAATGGAACACATGAGGGAGAAAGCTTAGCTGGCACCCTCCATAGGCAGGGATCTGGGGGTGAATTTTACTTATTTCAACATTTGTACCTTGCCTTTCCTCTTGGTTCAAGGCAGGTGAATGGCAGCTCATTCACTGGTTCTCTAAGTATTTGTTGGTGAAAAATGATGTCAAGTCATGGCCAACTTATGGCGACCCAATAGGATTTTCAAGTCAAGAGACTCCAGAAGTAGTTTGCCATTGCCTGCCTCTGCATAACAATCCCTGACTGCCTTAGTGGTCTCCCATCCAAGCAGTAACCAGGGCTGACCCTCCTTAGCTTCCAGGAGTTGACAAGATCAGCTAGCCTAGGCCATCCAGAATGGGGGAATAAATATCCTTCACCTTGAAAAGCAACAAGAATCTTGCCACTTCATTTGTATATGGAGATGTGAGCCACCCTGGCTTTCAACCTCAGGCTAGCTGCTGGCAAGGAAGACTAACAGGCAAAAGGGTAAATGCATTACAAGGAAGCCCTGCAAATAATACCCCCTCTCCTTCAAACTAATAGCCTCAAGAAACATTTGACTGGCTTACCGAACCACATTAGCCATTGGGGGGGGGGGGCTCCTGTCAGTGGTTGGTAAGAAAGCAGAGAACCAACTTTCTTTTTGATTTCCTGCCACTTCCCTTAGCTATCTGGAGGCATTGCAGGCTCTTTGCATCTCTTTGCTGAGGGTATCAATGTGATGACACAGTGGTGAGTACAGCTGGCAAGGGAAGCTCTGAGGCATTTTTGCCTAGTGCAAAAATGTTGCAGAAATGCACGGCTCAGTTCTTCAGCCTCCCTGGCCCCGAACCTTAGGCACCATCAGCCTGCCCCACTTACTGCCATTGAACATTGATGTGGTGTGTCCGCAATGGGCAAGGTGCCATATGAAACTCAGGAATGATAGTCCCTTGCTGAGATGGTCTGTAATCTGCATCAGTTAGGTTATGTGCGTACCTACCATCAAGTCACAATTGACCTTTGGTGACTCTAGCAAGGGGCTTCCAAGGCAAATGAGAAGCAGAGGTGCTTTGCCATTGCCTTCCTCTGCATAACCTTCTTTGGTAGTCTTCTACCCAAGTACCAACCCTGCTTAGCTTCTGGGATCTTACAAGATCAGGCTATACCATTCCACATCCTCACAGATAGGTTAGGGTGGCTCATTCTGTTCCAAGCTTGCTGCATCCAATCTTGCATTTCTTACCTTTCTGAGGTCAATCACCTGCAAATTACTATAGATTTTGTTTGTTGTCTGGATGTGCAGGTGATGCATAATTTGCACTTTTTCTTCAATGCAGAGGTCAGTGGAATTTGATGGTTATAACTCTGTTTATTTTGTTTAGAATATTTGTATGCTGCCTTTTGAGAGTCCTGCTTGAGGGGGCTTACAGTTAACAACCACAATATTAAAACACAAGCCAGTATTAGAACACAAGCCGTTGGACATAATAAAATAGTATAAAAAAACTGTCTGTAAAACAGAAGCAGACTATTAAAAAGCTGATAAGATAAACCCTCGAATTAAAAGCCTTGGCAAAAAGATTGTTTTAGCCTGGTGCCTGAAAGAAAGTAAAATGGGTGCTGTGTGAACCTCAAGGGGGAGGACATTCCAAAGGTGAGATGCCATCAGAAAATGCCCTGTCTGTAGTCATCACCTGCCTGAAAGTGGGGCACAGAGAGCAGGTCTTGAGAGGCAGACCTTAACAAGTAGCCTGGATAGCATGGGAGGATCACGTCCTTCCTGACCCCATGCTGTTTAGGGGCTTAAAGGTAAGGACAAGCACTTTGAATTGTGCCTGGAAACAGATGAGTAGCCAGTGCAGACTTTTTAGCACAGCACATTTGATCCCTGAGGCCACCCTTGACAGTAGCCTGGCTACTGCATTTTCGACCAATTGACGTTTCCTGGCCATTTTCAAAGGCTGCCCCAGGTAGAGCGCATTACAGTAATCTAACATGGATATGACCAGAGCATCCATCACCATGGCACTGCAAACCAGCCAGAGCTGATAAAAGGTGCCACGGAGGAGATCTGAGCCACAAACCATAGGCAAGGATCTAGTACTACCCCCAAGCTATGAACCTGCTGTTTTGAGGGGGGATATAACACCCATACCCATGGACAGGGTGGGTCCATATCCCTCAAGCAGCTCCACTGACCCACAGCACTTCAGTCTTGTCTGGATTAAGTTTTAGGACTAAATTTTCTTAAATTGTATTCCACGTTTCTGTCTCATGGGGACTTGAAGCAGCTTGCCACATTGTTCTCCCCACCTCTGTCCTCACAACAACCCTGTGACTTAGGTTAGGCTGAGACATCGTGAGGGGCCCAAGGTCACCCAGCAAGCTCCTATGGCAGAGCAAAGGTTCAAACCCAGTCGTTCAAGGTCCTGGTCCAAAATTTTAACCACTAAGGCACAGCGGCTCCTTACTCCTGTAAAGATGTTTAAAATTTACTTCACTTATAGCCCACCTGTATGTAGACTCCAGACAGCATAAGACATCAAATAAACAATGCAATAAGACTGGGCTTTACAGAATTAGGGCGGCATGGTATAGCCCAATCTCATCAGATCTCTGAAGCTAAGCAGGGTCAGTACTTGGACTGGAGACCACCAAGGATGGTTCTGCAGAGAAAGGCAATGGCAAACTACCTTTGCTTCTCACTTACCTCGAAAGCCCCTTGCTGAGGTTGCCATAAGTCGGCTGTGACTTGATGACACTTGAGACTGGAAATGAAAGAGCCTGCTACAGGAAATGTGTTACTGGAAAATGAAGGCGTTAAAGGAAGTGGAAGGGCTGGAGGAGAAGGAGAGAAGGGTGAGAATTTCTTTGATCCTCTTTATCAAAAGCCACCGGAATTTACTGGAATAGAAGTGGGACTTAGGGTGCAAATTGAGGGAATGGATTTCCACTGCCTCCACTACAGCAAGCCCCCACAGAGCACCATATCATCTGACAGGCTTCAACTTGCAGTTCTCTAGTAACTTTTGGGGGAGGCGTCTGGACTCAGATGCACTCACCCTGCACTGTTTGCCTTTGTAGTTCGCTCATTGGCCAGCACTGAACAACTGCCTGCTGTCACTTGCCAGCCATCACTTGCTAGCCCTCCTGCAGTAGCATGGCTGGGGCAGCCTCTGCACTCTCTAGTTCCCCTCAAGCCCCTTCCCCTTTGTGATTGGCTTCTGTGCCTGTTTCTCTCACCTTCTCCCCTCCCACCCCCTCCTAGGGCATCGCTGTGGAGCTCCTGTGTGGTTCTGCCCCTGCTGGCGCTCACCTGGATGTCAGCTGTGCTCGCCATGACTGACCGGCGCTCCATCCTCTTCCAGGTCCTCTTTGCTGTCTTCAACTCAGTCCAGGGCTTTGTCATCATCACTGTCCACTGCTTTCTGCGCAGAGAGGTGGGCATCTGTGCATTGCCAGGTGGCTGGTTTGTTTGGGGGGGGGGGGCTACACTGGTGTTTCCAGCTCCCCTGGAGCAGAAGTGTATGATTGATGTACTTCATTTACACTCCGCCTTTTTCCCCAATGGGGACTCAGAGTGGCTTACAATGTTTTCCTCTTCTCTGTGTAATCCTCACAAAAACCCTGTAAAGGTAGGTCAGGCTGAGAGTGTGTGACTGCCTAAGGTCACCCAACAAGCTTCCATGGCAGAACAGGAATTCGAACTTGGGTCTCCCAGATCTTAGTCTCTCTAACCACTGTACCGCACTGGGTCTTCCACTGGTATGAAGGAGTGAAGTCCATGTTCCAGAGTCTTTGGAATTTAGTCCCCTCACCATCATATTTCTTTTCAGACTCTGAAAACCAAACCAATCATTTTTCAGATTAATTATGGAACAGAAAGGTTTCTAGTCCCTGCTGTGCTCCTGATAGGGATAGAGACTGTCATGCAGCTTGCGTCCCTCTGAAGTTGGATGGTTTCTTCCTCCCCAATTTCTCATCAGAGGGGCAAGAGGAGGAGGAGGAGGGAGTGGCAGAGAGGTTCCCATCCAGGTCCAGAAAAGCACAGCCTCAGAAGACCCCATGTTCCTGTGGTACCTCCAAGACATCTGACCACAATGGGATTCTGGTATAGATATGTTTAAAAACTTCCCCACTGTTTTAAAACATCGATAGCTGGCCTGAAAACATTGGAGACATTTCAGAAACCCAGATGACTTAAAAGGAAATAAAGCCAACAGAAAAAGTATTCTCCTGTTGAGCTAACTCAGTCATTCCCATCTTCTGTGCGGCAGGATGCAAATTAATTAAATAATGGAAAGCTGTTACAAACCCAAAGTTCCTCCACCTGCAGAGGTGACTGCCCACTGTGTCTCTGTGTGATCTCCTGCTCTGGCCTTGCCTCCTTCCAATCAGCCTCTGCTGAGTGGTGGTAGGGGGATTCATCCGTGTGTCTGCATCAGGTATGATTGGATTGTTCAATCGCTCCGAAGCAGAAGTGTACTGGAATTAGCCCCCCTCTGAGGAGGATGCCCACTGAGTCTCTGCATGAGCAACTCCTCTGCTTGGCCTCCTTCCAATCAAGAGGAACTCCAAGAGCTGTAATTGTACAGAAAGACAGAGGATTACCTCCTCTCAGGCTGGGCTGGGTAATTCCTATTCTGGCACTTTGAAGGAAACCTTCCACCCCCTCCAGGCCTGCAGATTTAATTCTCTGCATGTCTATGCTACTGAATGTTTGGGAGCATTATGGAGACAAGGGGTATTAAGCATGTAATACTGCATTTAGCTAACTTCAGAGATGGGACCCAAACAGAGGCCTGTAAGGTGTTTCTCTCCCTATACCCCTCTAAGATGGCATTCGTGGTCTTGAGCCACCAGCCTTTGAAATCTGAAATCAATCAGACATCTTAATGGCAGCCTGGAACATGGGTGGAGAGAGACTTGGCTCCATTTCCCTCCATCTACCTGGAGACACAACCTCCTTCTTCCAATCCCATCCATCTCTGCTCTGGAGTTCCAAGCCCCCCTCCAATGCCCCCATTTATCTTAGTGGCAATGGGCGCTGAACGACTGTTCCATAAACATAAAACACAGGCGCACACAGAAGTGGCGGGTGCAGTGCCTGTTGCTGCCAGCTGCCCCCACACCCACATCCCTCACTGTGCTGTCAGGAAGAAGGGTGCTTATAGCATCTGCGTCCTTGCAGTGAAAATGGCAGATTAGCAATGTGATTCCTGCCGTCCAGGTGCTAAGAAGGTCATCCGGAATGGGCAGGTGCATGTTTTGGGCATACAAGCGAAGACAGTCAGAATTTATACCGGTTAATAAACAAAAATCTTGGGTGGAGGGTGGGGGAGCAGCAGGCATAATGTCTGCTCATAAATACTCTCAAGGTAATGGCAGAGACAGCAGTGGGGAATTTGTTATTGCAAGGCTGGAGGCAGCAACTGAAGCAGATCGCTGGGCTCCCCCCCCCCCCCCAGGAATCTCCTTTCCCTTTCACCTTTCTTAAAGTCCCCTCCCACTGCCAAAGAGAATTGACAGCTGATCTCACAGCTCTGCACACTTGTGTTAGGTGTTGCCAGATAGAGGGCCTCGGGCCAAGGGACCAGCAGTTGGTGTTCCCTGCTTTATAGAGACCAGAGCACTTCATTTGATTGACACCCAAAGCCTGTCCCATCTGGTGCTCTGCCTGTGGATGCTCTTGAATCAGTGCTTAGTCCAAGTGGCTGTTTGTGCACGTCATTACCCGCCAAAGATCTCTCCAGTGTACAGAGATGGATCGCAGGGTGGGAAACGAGGTGGTGGAGGAAGTCCTCTGGCAAAGGTAGAGCCAAAGCGTTGCCAACTGCAACCCAGTGACCAGACGGTTACCTTGTCTCCCCCAGGTGCAAGACGTGGTGAAGTGCCAGATTGGAGTCTGCAAGAGTGATGAGAATGAAAACTCTCCTGACTCCTGCAAGAACGGGCAGGTCCAGATCATGGTGAGTGAGTGTGGGGCCCGTGCCAAGGCATGGGGGTGGCGGTTGGGACAGGCACCGAGTGCCAGAGGAGGATGTGCCCAAGGAGGCTGTGGAGTTTAATCCAACCAGTGCAGCCCAACTAGGTCAGCCTTCATCACCTCATGTGGTTGGTGAGACGTTTGAGTGGCCAGCTGAGCACCAAAATAGCTGTTGCTCTCCTGAACATTTTTGAGCACAAACATAGTGAGCTCTTGCTATGTGCTCAGACTGTTTCATGTGCATTACTTCTGTGGCTTGCCTAAGGATGCCTGGAAGGTTCAGGGCTGCTGTGACTTCCCTGCTAATCCTCTCAGCCTCTGCACCACACCAGTAAAGGCACTTGACAGCTTTCGCCATGTGTAAGACGGTGTTGTTGTTCTGGAAATGGGTGCAGCCACCTTGCCCATGTTGGGGCGTGCACATGCTGTGCCTAAGATCATTTCAAAAGGTGGCTGAGCAGTCACCGGGTTTGGGTGCCACCCTGGTGGACCAGGTTGGGCCCATGGGCCCTGTCTCTGCCCATCTTTCGTATCCAGACTGTGGACATTGTTTAAAAAGTACTTTTGTCTGTGCTTGTCACTATACATGGCCTGAAGACAGCCAGAGCAACGTATTTTAACACAACATATTGTGCCACCCATGATGCATTCATTTCTCCACTCCCACTTTCTCTCTGTCTCTTCTTCTGTCTTTTTCTCTCTCTCCCTCTCTCTCTTCCTTTCTCCCCCTCTTTCTGTATTTTTATAGACAGATTTTGAAAAGGATGTTGACCTGGCATGTCAGACAGGTGAGGCCCTCTCTCTTGGCTTCAGGAACTCGGTTAGCAGAAGTTCAGAAACTGTGTGTTTGGTTCTTTTAGAAGACAAGTGGGTCGGGCTTAGAGTTGGACAGGATGAACCCGTTAAATATTCCCAGGGGGTAACAGAACTTGAAATTTGGAAATGGGGGCTGTGGTAGAGCATCTGCTTGGTATGCAGAATGTCCCAGGTTCAGTCCTCAGCATCTCCCATTCTTCAAGTTAGGTGATGTGAAAGAACTCTACCTGAGCTCTGGAGAACTGCTGCCAGTCAAAATGGAACTAGGTAGCTTCATTTAAGGAGGGGGGGGGGTGTCTCCATCGCAGAGCCATCTGCTTGGTATGCGGAAGGTCCCAGGTTCAGTCTCCAGCATCTCCCTTTCAAAGGACCAGGTAGTAGGTGTTGTGAAAGTACTCTTTACCTGAGACCCTGAAGAGCTGCCGGCAATGAGAACAGACAAAGCTGACCTGGCTAGACAAAGGCTTTACCTCATTATAAGACAGCTTCTTGTGCTCAGACCCGTTTGAGGAGTGGAAGATCAGACCAGGGCATTAGACATGTGGCTGCTTGTCAATACCAGGGCTTCTTAGGCTAAGGGTCATTGGGCAATCAGTCTTGCCCTTGAGCTTGCATACAAAACTGCCTTGTGCAGAGTTAGGCCCCATCACGAGTCCATCTCGCCCTGCATTGTCTCCTCTGACTGGCGGCAGCAACGTAGGGTTTCAGGCTGAGAAGGATCTTTCCCAACATCTACTACTATATGTCATTGGAAGCCGCCCTGAGCCTGCTTTGCAGGGAGGGCAGGGTATAAATCTGACAATAAATGAATAAATAAATACTTGAGACCAAATAAAGAGTCCTACTGGATGAAGCTGGTGGTCCATCTAGTCCAACATCCTGTTCTCACCCAGTACCCAAACAGCGCTCCAGAGGGCCAACAAACAGAGGTCAAAGCCATCCCCAGATATTGTCTCCCTACACTGACATTCAGATGTCTGTTGTATCTGGCTATGGAGGTTCTCTTTAGTCACCATGGCTAGTGACCACTGAAAGACCTCTCTCCATGAATCCAGTTCTGTTCCATCTTTGCTCATGGCCGTCAATGACATCCACTGGCTGTAAGTGCCACAATTTAATCATCCTTTGGTGATGCCATGAGTTGCACCTAGGACCTTTTGCATTCAGGATTGGGGTTCTACCACTGAACCACATTTCTTTTTCTTGGCATCCACCTTTCAGTCTCAGCACCCTTAAAATCACAAGGGGCATGCAGCTTGTCCATGTAGAGTACCCAAAGGACTTCAGAGTTGTTCAGACCCACCTCCTCTGTGGGTCTTCTGGTGCATGGACAAGCCAGCCTTATTGTATATGGTGTTCTGGACTGGTGGCTGGGATCCCCATCGCGGGTCCTTAAAGGTTATTATAGCCCCCTACTTAAGGGACCCCTCCTCTGTTCCTGCACCCCCATCCCTGCAAGGTGGGAGGCTTCCTGTAGAGCACAGATACCCCTTAGGTAGATCAAGAACCATTAAGGCATGTTCTATTTGACTGCCCTTTTCCCTCCAAGTCCTCTTCAAAGAGGTTAACACGTGCAACCCAGCCACCATCACAAGTACCTTATCGCGCATCTCCCTGGATGGGGACGAGGATCCTAAGCTCAACTCCAGCTCCGAGGGTGGCTTGGGCTTCTCCACTCTCCCCGGGAATATCCCACCCACCTCGATCCTAGTCCAGGTGCCCCAAATGACTCACAACATGGTAAAGGGTCTGAACGAACTCAACGACCCACCCACCAAGAAGGACATCAACTTGGATGCCACACGGGGGCCCGTCTACATGTGTGGTGAGAGCAATCTGCGACAGATGGACTACAGCTGGCTACGACCCCAAGAGGCTACCATGGAGAGCAACTACATGGTGCTGCCACGGCGGACAGTGAGCCTTAAGCCCTTCACTAGGGAGGAGGGCAAGCTCAACATCAAACTGGACGAAGCGCCAAGCATGACCAAGGTCCGTCATATGATGGAGGCCGAGGCCTACCCTTCCTTTGCCTCGGTAGACCACATCAACGTGAACTTGAACCAGCCCTATGGGACAATCAAGCACCCATATGGCCTCCAGTTCAAGCAACAGCCCACAGTGCGGCAGATCTTGGCCTCAGAGATGTCAGAGCGCAGCCGCACCATGCCACGCACCGTGCCAGGTTCCGCTATGAAGGTGGGCTCTCTGGAGGTAAGAGTGACAGTATATACATGCAGGGTGTCAATTTATCTGATGGTGTACGTGGAAGTTGATCTTTGCTATAAGTACCCGTGAGTTCCAGGTTCCGATGTTTGGTCATATAAGCATGCACACAAAGGTGGTCTGATGAACCCACAGGTGTAAAGAGTTACATCTGAACCAACTCTTACTGCACAAAATGGCTCTGTGTGTACGTATGAGAGGATGTGTCAGTATTTCCACTTACAGCCAATCTTTTGGCTGCTAGCTATTCCTTATAATGAGAGTTACAGACTGATCCTTAGCATGTTTACTTGGAAGAAAGCCCCATTGCAGTCATTGAACTGTACTCCTGTGTAACTGTGCATAGTGATCATGACCTTAACACTTGCCTGGCTGGCTCTGGGCAGGGTGAGGAGCCACTATGGCTCCCTCCACCCCATCAGTCTTCCTGTTTACTGTTCATTCATGGCAGTAACCACCTTGAATACAGCTGTGACCAGAGCAAAGACAGATGCAACAGCTGAGGAAGACCAGATGGTGTGAGGAGGTGGGCGGCTGACTAGCTGCTTCTTTTTTCTCTCCCAGGCCCTCCAGGAGGCAGATGAAAGTCACAGCCTTGTGCAGTTATTGGTGAATAAGACCCATTGATGCCTAGGGACAGGCTGCAGCCGAATGTGCTTCTTTTGAGCACATCACCCATTTCTGGTTCACTTCTCCTAAGCTAGTCAAGGCATTTGCCTCTACAATCACAATTCCATGTGTAAAAGTGTCAAGCTGTAAAGTTGGCAGACTCATTCAGTTTAGCTCTTTGCAGACTACGGCCCTTCAGACTGCGGGAGGAGGAGGAGGAGGACAGTACATTTGAAGAATTCTCCATTTAAAAATAAGAGAGATCTGCATAGAGAGATCTAACATCATGGAGAATAACTTCTCCCTGATTTGCTAGTTTTCTGTGTGCAGAGAGGTGCTTTCTTAATATGAGGGGAAATGCAAGCATGCAACCCCCACTGGCCCTGAAGAATTCAGCAAATGTTTCATGTTGTGATTCAGCTGATCATAAAGGCTGGCTGTGCCTACAAATACATTCTTATTTAAATAATGGATTACAGGCCCTGTATTTATGGAGCTGCGGTGGCTCAAGTGGTTAAGACGCTGAACTGCATGCTGTGGAAGGTCAGTAGTTCAGAAGTTCGAGACCTGGGTGCCGCATGATGGAGTGAGCTCCCATCTCTAGTTCCAGCTCCTGCCAACCTAGCAGTTCGAAAGCAAGGCATTGCAAGTAGATAAATAGGTACCACTTTGGTGGGAAGGTAACAGCGTTCTGTGCACCTTGGTGTTTAGTCATGCCGGCCACATGACCACGGAAACGTCTTCGGACAGCGCTGGCTCTTTGGCTTTGAAATGGAGATGAGCACCGCAACCCTAGAGTCGGATTCAACTGGCTTTCGAGCAAGGGAACCTTTACCTTTATGTACATTTCACATGCTGTGGGAGAATATATACAATTCTAGGTCTGTTCCAGCAAAGCCATAAAAGAATATACCAATGTGCATGTATTAAAAACCAGGTTGCTGTTTTGAGTATAAATTAGGGACATTGCAAATGTCACTGTAAATCTGTTAGGCATTTACCTTTTTTTGGATATACATGGTTGGACTGTGAGCCAATCAAACAGATGTTCTGCTTGCATTGAACAGTTCAAACAGATTTGTGGCTGCTTGTTGGTCAGAATCTGACTCCCAGCTGGTCAGTAATCAGCTGGGAGTCAGGTTTTGATCTCCCAGCACTTCCCTGTATCCTAGCCCTGTTGTGCTGGGATACAGAAAAGCTTTGGGGGGATCAGAAGCTCATTCACACCTGCTAGGGGATCACCTGGGAGTTGGGTTCTGATCCACCTTGCCTGATAGGGGATCACCTTGGAGTTGGGCTCTGATCCACCCCGCTAACAGGCAAAATTACTTCATAGAGAAGCTGGAGATCAGAAATGATCAACTCGCATCACTAAAGGATCATTTCTCTCCACTCCCCTTCCAAGCTTGGGAGGGGGGGAGAAGCAGAAAGAATGCTACTACTAGCTTCATTGCAAAACGGAGAGGGGAAAGAACTCGTTTCCTTTTCTCTGCAGCCCAAGCCAATGGCTTTTGGTGGGGAGAAGAAGACAAATCAGCTGAGCTTCTGATCACCCCTCTTCCCTGAAATGTTTGCTGCCTCTTAGCAAGTCGGGGATGCAGCAAAGGTTCCAGAATTGGAGATCAGAAGAACCCAACTTCCAGCTGATCAGCTAGGCGTTGGCTTGTGATTCCGGCTCCCTTTAAAAAACCTTGTTGGGTACAGAGCAAAATTTCCTCAGCAAGTGATCAGAAGCTGACTCCCAGCTGATCCCTCCAGTGAACAAGTTGCAAACAGCTGAATAGTTCATTGCTTAATTGGCTGCCTGAGCACCACTGGTGAACAGGATGTGAGCTAAATTGACAGCTGTTCAAGCATCCCTAGTATTAATATGGATTCCATGGAAGACTGCATGAGTTCCTGTAACAGGTGGTGCATGTGGTTTTAGATGTGCTACAAGCTTACTGGTATAATACCACTATAACAGTTGTGGATTCCCCTCCCCAACTAATCCTTTGAACGGTCATTTGGCCAGGGTGCTAAGGATGCTCTGTTAGAGATCCCTAGCTCCTGTTTACAGAACTACAGTTCCCAGAATTCCATGGATGAGTGATTGACTGTTAAACCAGTTTCAAGTGAGTAGCATAGGTGTAGTTAGCTGCACTGGTCCAAAGCAAAATCCACAAAGAAAATCCAAACCAGCACAACACATTGTGCAAATTTTTGCATTCTCCAGAATCCCTTATCAGGCTGGATGTTAAAAAATAGTGAAAGGAGTAGGCGGGATCTCTCAGGCTACATGGATGTCAGTGGGCAAAGAGTATGGTATCAGGTGGCACCCTCGGCATGTTGGGTGCAAGCAAAACGTGGAAGCTGAGCAAGAGATGATCAGATGTCAGAGGAAACCTGTCAGGGATTTCTGAGGCCAGCAGGGAAAGTGGTTTTTCCAGTACACATTATTTTGTACTTTCCGAAAATTCAACCAATCCCCTGCCTGACCCTGAAGCAAGGATGGGGGGGGGGGGTTTCTGCTCAACTGCATGTGATGTCGGGCCAGCCTTATCTTTCCTACCACCCCCTTTACTGAGAGATGTCCCCACTTGGCATTGTGCCTGGAGGGGCAGGGACTTGATTCCCATCCTCAAGGCTGGATTTTCAAAGAGAAAGTCAGCGATGCGGAAAACTTCCCATTAGTCCACTGCTTGGTTTCAACACACTGGAGGTTGCAACCTGATGTACTGGCTGAAGCTTCAAAACAAATTGCTTGGTGAGGAGAAAAACGTATTGAGGTTGGGGGAGCCCTCCTGGGTATTAGCAGCAGGAGCTGAGTTATGCAAGATGGTGCCCTGACCTGGATGGCCCGGGCTAGCCCAGTCTCCTCAGATATCAGAAGCAAAGGAGGCTCAGCCCTGGTTGGTACTTGGATGGGAGACCATCATGGAAGTCCAGGGTTGCTGTGCAGAGGCAGGCAATGGGAAACCACCTCTGAACCTCTCTTGCCTTGAAAATTCTATGGTGTCACCATCAGTCGACTGCGACTTGATGGGCCTTCCTACCACCATGCAGGATAGCAGGGGGTGGAGATCGATGACAGACCGAGGGGGGGATGCAATGTGTATCCTAGATCCTGTTCTGATCCCTGCATCGTTCTAATCAGTTGCGGAGAACAGAGGACCGGAAAAACCAAAGTCCTCTCTAAGAGCCTCTTGAGGTAGAATGCCAGGACCCCTAAATCCAAGCCAGGCCCTCTCCAGCCACTCCCATGATGTTTTCTTGGAGTGCTCTGCCATAGAGCTAAGGACTCCCACATGGCCCTTGCTTACTAGTTGTACCTGAAAGCCACCATCTGGTTAGCAGGGCCAGGTTGCAGAGGAGGCAAGTCCTGTTTGCTTGGCACAGATTGCTAATTGGCAGCAGGACATGCCAGGCACACTGCACTGTGGCTGTGACCTCCTGCCCCCCACCTGCTCTCTGTGTGCTGGTCCAGGAGTGCCTCCTTCTCTTGAAATGCTTTGGCAGGATTCTCTGGCACACCTTTTCCATGCACACTTCTTTGGCGCACAGCCTCCAAACACTTTGTTTCTCTCTCATTTTTTAATTGGTGGACATACTGGTAAAGGCACTTTTTTTTTTTTTGCTTCTTTGTGTGTATGTTGTTGTGGTATGTCTAACTTGTGCCCCCCTCTCCTCCAGAGGAAAAGGCTACGGTATTCCGACCTGGATTTTGAGGTAGGTCCCCTGCCCACCTTCCTCCGTGGTGCCCTTCCGCAGGCATTCAGTGTCCTCCTTGTGGTAGATCAATGCCCCCCCCTGCCCGTTTTGCTGCCCCTTCCTGTCTTCTCAGGTTCTTGCCAGCCAGAAGTTGAAATGCCTTGACATAAATAGGGTTTAATAGCTATTCTCTTCAGGAGACTCTGGAAACTGTAGTTCTAGGGATTTCTAACCACAGCCTCAGCAAACTACAATTCCCAGGATTCTTTTGGGAAAGCCAGTGAACCTGACAGAAACTCAATATGCATTTGTCATGCAGATGTATCCTCAGTGCAGGCAAACACAGAGGCCCCTTGTAAACATACCACTGTCCTTGGCAGCCACTTGGAGATACCAGTTAACATCCAGCTGTGTGGTGGGATAAATTGTACACACGCATGATGATATATGCCTACATGGCTTCCCGGCAGGCGCAGACAGCCATGGTAAAAATGTCCTCTTGGAGCCAGGGACAATTGAAAAGGAGCCCCTGGTGTCTGCAAGCAGCCCAGTTATGCTATAGGGCTGTCTCTCCACAGAGGTGGGGTTAGGCTAAAAAGGAGCACATTGTGGCAATTCGAGAGGCTTTGGGAACTGCAAAGAGCCAAAGAGGAACGGGGAGACCATTGCTGTGCTGAAGGGTCTCTCTTGTTGGAAGGCTAGCTGGTGTCTAAGCCCTGGGGAGACACCCCTGCATGGGAGCGGGAGCTTTCTCCCGTGCTTCTGAGCTAATGCTCAATTTTTATTTCATTTTTGGTTTATTTCCTCTCCCAAGCCGCTTTCCTGGCTCTGATTTAAGCATAATCTGATGAAACGGGCCCCCAAGTTTTATAACGGATAATAAACAGTGTTAGCAGTTGATTAAAATGCTGGAGCTGGGGATGGGAGTATTTTAGCTGGGTTTATGGGGGGGGAAGAGGTAATATCCTTGCCATTATCGGGAGAGATTTGATAGGGGGTGTAGTTCCAGCGGGCCTTAAAGGCTCATCGTCTGCTGGTATCAGCCCATAAATGTTGATCTGATGAAATCTCCTGTCATTGGAAGAATCTGCTGAGGAAAGGAAAGAGGCTCCAGCTTTGCCCAGTAAATGTCTTGACAGGAGAGAGCCTTTCAATTTCCAGAGTGTAGACAGTACCGTAAAGAAATCAGTGCCATGGTGTGTACCCACATCCCACAATTCTCTCTGTTGACAGGTTAGGCAGGGTTCTAAAACACTTCAAAAACCTTCAAAGCCTGGTATGACCCAAAGGGATAGTGGGGTTGAAGGCTGCAAGAAACGAGGTTTGCTATAGGACGGCTGTCAGCACCCTTTAAAGTGGAGTCTTGCCCAAGGCTGGTCCAAGGCAGTTCACACCTTAATTAAATTTCCCTTTGAAGACTTTATGGTGGGGGTTTGTGTCAGTCTCTCCATTTTAACTGATTCTTTTGCTTGTGGCATCTGGTGATTAGGATAAAAAGAGTAATTAGTATTTGTATAATTATTTTTCTGAAGTGAGTCATTCTCGCAACAGTTCTGTAAGACTGGCTGTTGTCTTACTAATCATATGGGGGAAACAGAGATGTCGACAGGGCCATTTAGGAAACTTCATGGTTGGGTAACATTTGAGTTGGGTAGGGGGTGTGGGGGGATATCTTCCTGACTCAAAGGTCATGCTTTCACCACTAAGTTTTAAACAATATATTTACATGGGTAGATGTTTGGGAGGGGGGGGGAGGATTTGAGATTAGGTATCCGTGGCTCAAGAGGCTAAACTGATGTGTCTCTTCTCTCCACCGCTGCTGCTTCTACAGAAAGTTATGCACACAAGAAAACGCCACTCGGAACTTTACCACGAGTTGAACCAGAAGTTTCACACGTTGGACCGGTATCGAACACCAGCAACCAATGCCTCAAAGGTAAGGAGGGCAAAAAGGAGACCATCAAAGTGTCCCCTTCAGTAAGCATGTAACAACAAAGCCAGTTTGAGCTAGCCCTCAACCCCTTTACCTTTTTGGAGTAGGAATGCTTTTGGAATTCTTGTCAAATTTATGGGATTCAAATAGCCCAGGGCATTTTTTTTTAAGTGGAACTCTGGAATCAGGCACCTTCTCTAGTGTTCTGTTTTTTTCCTTCCAAATTTTGTACAGAGTTCTGCACATCCACCATTTGCAACAGATTTTAGTTCATTCCTCTCCCTCTCCTTTCTCCCCCTTACCAAAGCATAATTTATTTATGTATGTATGTATTTATTTATTTATTTATTTATCGTATTTATACCCCGCCCTCCCCGTGGGCTCAGGGCGGCTTACAAGGGCAAGGCAAAGCCTTGCCATGATAAAACACAATATACATATAATTTAAAAACATACAATACATATTTAAAAATCCTAATTTAAACAAAGTGCTCAGTGTCTTCAGAGTCCAAAGATGACGGAACGTATGCCCGAAGTTCCTGGTAAACAGTTTAAGACTCCATTCATGTTCAGGTTCAGGTGTTTTTCTCAGGGCCTCTTCCAACCCACAGCGATGGTGTTATAGTGGGGGCGGAGGCTCCTACTCAAAAGCCTGGTGGAAGACCTCTGTCTTGCAGGCCCTGCGGAACTGCATAAGATCCCGCAGGGCCCAGATCTCCCCTGGGAGCTCATTCCACCAGGTAGGAGCCACCACCGAAAAAGCCCTGGCCCTAGTGGCGGCCAGTTTGACATCCCTGGGGCCCGGGATAGCTAGTAAATTTTGGGCCCCTGACCGTAGTGCTCTTGGGGGAACATGCGGGGAGAGGCGGTCCCTCAGGTAGGTTAGACCCAGGCCATGTAGGGCTTTATAGGTAGGAACCAGCACTTTGAAGCGAATCCAGTACGCTATTGGCAACCAGTGCAGCGCTTTCAGCGCAGGCTGAATGTGGTCCCTTCTAGAGAGACCCGTTAACAGCCTGGCCGCAGCATTCTGCACCAGTTCTGCACCATAAGCAGTTTTGATGCAATCATACCCCATTTGCGCATCAAGTTACTTTGGGAGTGTCTGTCCCCATAAGCATGCACACTTGCGTGCATGGATAAAACGTTACAAAAAAAGCAAGCTCTGATAACACTTAGGGTTGTGTTAACACTCAGTAAAACAACACCACACAAAAAGAATCTTGATGTAGTTGTAAGTACAGTCACATCAAGGCTGTGGTGCAGCCCACCACTTTATAAATGGTAACTGTAAAACAATATAACTAAACAATAAGACTAAGTAAATAACTAAAGTTTTTTTTGTCCCCAGAGTGTCATCAGTGCTAACAGGCAGATCAGTACTGTATACTGGTAACATGGGAGCTAAGGCGGTCAGTAATGCAAATCAGTTACAGTTACCCATGCCTTGTTAACATCCAGATTAGACTACTGCAATGTGCTGTATGTGAGACTGCCCTTAAAGATGTTATGGAAACATCAATGATTACAGAATGCGGCCTTTCTCAGCAGTCCCTGGTACCCTTCTACCAAAGTTGAAATTATATCCAAAAGCAGAGTTCTCATCCCAACTCTATGATTCTATTAATTCTATCCCACGCTTTGCAGCTTGGACTATGAGTTCAAATTCTGCATCAAGAAAATGTTCATTTCAGGTTGGGGTGGATGATGGGGAAATTGCACCTGGAGGTGGTGTCAGCTAGCTGCCATGTTTTGCTTCTTCCCTTCTCTGATCCTGGCTTGCTCGCTGCTCTGCCGCTTGCAGTAAACATTGCTAGGGGGACCATGAGAGCCGGTACTGCCAGACTGTGTTATCTGTCTGGCCTTGTGAAGGAGGGAGGGCTTGCGTTCCACCGCTGGTGTGAATCTTTTGGCTCTCATGAGGCACTGCGACTCTCCTGCTTATCATGTATCATCCGCCGGGAGAATTCCCATGCGCGCGCTCGAATTTCATTTGCTTAGCCATTTGCCTCATCCTGCTATATGTAAGGGTGTTTCCGCCCCATGGTCATTCCTAACAATAATCCTGTGGATATGGTACCAGTTTTGTAATCTAATAAAGCATAACGCTTCCTTGGAAACCTGTGTGGAGATTTACTTGCTGCTGAATCTGACAGGTGGTGATTAATTGTTGCATTTATCATGCAGAGAGAGAAGCGGTGGAGCGTCTCTTCAGGGAGCGGGGAAAAGAACATGGCCAGCGTAAGTACCCATTCAAAATCAGAGAAGAGATTGTCAGACTCCTGGTCAAGAGACTCTCAACAACGCTCTCTTTGGCAGTGATTTGTTTATTGAGATATCAGCATGATCCAGGTTAGAACAGTACCATGTCAGAAGGTTCAGAGACAGTTCAAACAGGGCCCCTTCTAGAATATCCAATGACATGTCGCAGCCATCCCACCTAGCTCTTGCATTCACTACCCCACCACCTGGGAATATACAATCCTGTTATCTACAATAGCAAGCTGGCACAGCTTCGTTCTCAAGGACGTTCCTCTAGGAGGAAGGTATCTTAAGGAAGAGTTATGGCATCTACGATAGAGCAGTTCACACACACACCATTCACCCCACCTGTCGGAATACCCCCCCCCCGGTAACTATGGCAAACTAAGCAGAGTTTGACAGAGATGCAGCATGGGAGAAGGCTTGCCATTGGTCTTCTCAAAGAACACCTGATACAATAAGGAAAGAAGGCGCTAAGAACATTGAAAAAAATGCCTATGGGACCTAAGATTAACCTACATGGAAATGAACTTGGGAAAGCTTTGACAACTGGCTCCATTGCATGATGTATGTCCTGCTCATAGATTAAGGATGCAAGATGGTGCTGCCCATCAGTCCTAGCCCCACTGCTGGACCTCCTGATGGCACCTGGTATTTTTGGCCACTGTGTGACAGAGTGTTGGACTGGATGGGCCATTGACCTGATCCAACATTGGCTTCTCTTATGTTCTTATGTCTTGCTAGGTTTTTCACAGTGGATCATTCCAGACTTGCAAACCATTGTACAAAGTCCTTAATTTAATACTTTGTCATTTCTAAATAAGAAACCACCCTTGCAGGGAGAGCTCCAGGTTTTGGAGGGGGACAGACAGAGAGTTCCCAGGACCCCCTGTCCTCCTCTGCCCACTACCAACTCCTTCTGTTCATGCCCTCCTTCCCTCCCCCCTGCCTCTGTGTCTGCCCATGAGCCCTCCCACCACCCATGCTCACAGCTGCCCACAGCTCTTTCCCCTGTGGCACTGGGCAGTGGACACATCTTGGAAGCATGGGCAGTAGAGCACTAGCAATGGGCAGACCAGGGGCTGACAGCAGTGGGCCCTGCCAGAAGTCCTGGGCTTTGACCATTTCTCCATCTCAGGGTATGTTGACACTGGCCCTGCACTCGTGTATCATTTCCTTTGTTATAGATCAAATAATTTCCATCACCATGACATGCCCAGAGGAGGGGGAGCAGAACTGCCACAGGGACTGAGACCTGGAGCCAGCTCTCGGATTAGGGGCAGAGGTGCAGATTACAAAGGAGGTGTGGCTGCCACTGAACTGGCAGCCCTGAATCGAGTCAGGGGTCTGGAGACTGAGCCCTACGAGGAAAGGCTGAGGGCCCTGGGAATGTTTAGTTTGGAGAAGAGGAGACTGAGGGGGGACATGATTGCTCTCTTTAAATATTTGAAAGGCTGTCATTTGGAAGTGGGCAAGGAGCTGTTCCAGTTGGCAGCAGAGGATAGGACCCAAAGCATCGGGTTTAGATTACATGCAGAAAGGTATCGGCTGGATATTAGGGAAAATCTTTTTTTTTTAAATTATTTTCATTTTTCCATAACATACACTCCATATATTTTCCAACATTCTGGGGTTACATTAGACATTTTCTTCAATCCACTTATTGACTTTTTGCCATTTTTGCTTAAAGTTACTTTCTGTTTTTCCCGCCAAGTACATATTCAGCTTATCCATTTCTGTTATTTCAAAAAGCTTCGTAATCAACTCTTCCCTAGTCGGTACTCTGTCTGTTTTCCAATTCTTTGCTATTATTATTCTTGAGATTGTAATTATGTACAGGAAAAACCTTTTCACAGTCAGAGTAGTTCAAAGGTGGAATCAGCTGCCTAGGGAGCTTTCAAGAGGCTGGATGAATATTTGTCACAGATGCTTTAGGCTGGTCCTGCATTGGGCAGGGCGTTGGACTAGATGGTCTGCATGGCCCCTTCCAACTCTGTGATTCTGATTCTAAGTCACCCCCTGCCTCCACCATAACGTGTAGTTGAACTTAAGCTCGTCCTGTTCCAGCTGTCATTATGACATGGGTTTCCCTACCAGCCACATCTGCCAATGCCAGTTGGGAATGACCCTTGTACCAGAACCAGGACACAAGAGTTGGTTGAACGAGGCATTAGAGAGGAGGGTGCCAATTGGGGGGAGAGCACTTCTATTTCTTGCCATTCTGCTTTCTTTCCGACTCAAATCAGTAACCTCACCTCTCGTTCCCTGGCAGGAGGGAGCCAGCCCAGACAGCCGGCAGCAGAAGCAAAAGTCTTGGAGCACCTTCAAGGCCATGACACTGAGCTCCCTGCCCTCCAAACATCGGGAGAAACTGGAGCTACATTCTGCTGCTGACTGGGAAAAACACTGTATGAGCCTGGATCTATCCGAGGGGGACTTCCAGACAGAAGTGTGAGCCTTGTGGACTCTGGGATTTAGCCACCTATATATATATATATATATTATAAATATAAATATATATATATTTTCACACCTTGGAAAAAGAAGGAGACGAAAACAACAAGACAGTTCCTTCCCCCTTCTGGTGGTTTTACCGGGCTTTTTTTGAAATCCCTTTAGTCCGTCCTTGGGGGCGGGGAGAGGCAGCAGAAGATGTTGTGCCCCCGCCCCCCAATTGTCATGCAGCTATGGCCACGCACACCTCACGTGCACCTGCCCCATCCCCGGAAGTGGTAACAGGTGCTGGCTTTTTCTCTCCCTTCCCCCTTCTGCTGTCCTCCCGTTCCCCACAGTGACTCACCACCAGGACACAAAAGCGCGCACACAATCACACACCGATGGCTCTCCAGTTCTCCCACTCACAGAACTTGGGTAGAGGGGAAGATCTTTCAGTGCAGTGGGGTGGGAAGAGCCATTCTGAACTCTTTTCTATCTGGGTATTTCTTCACGCCATGCACTGTGTGCACGGCCAGCAGTCTGGGATTGAAGCCGCCGCCCCACATCTCCCCTTTGAGATTTTCCCCGGCACCGTTCTTCTTCCACCTCCAGATCTTCCTGCCCGGACAGTGGGGGAGAAGACCCTGCACCTTCTTTGCCCCGTTCTGCACGGGGCTGGATCTGAATCTCCCGTCTCCCTGCAACACATTCCCCCCACCCCCGTGTCTTCCTCCCCATCCCAGGCCGGGCCGGGCGGGCGCTGTGTTTGTTGGAAATAAAAATTCACTCTGTGAATCTTTGCAGCTGTTTGGCTCTCAGTTTTACTGACCTTTGGACATAGACCGAATCACATGCCATTGGCCTCCTTGGTACATAAAGAGATGGGAAATTTTAGACTGAGCACCAGCTTGGCTGAAATATTTGTAGAGGTTTTAAAACAGCTGAATGGAATTTTGGTAAGACTGACTGACTGACTGACAAGATTCTCTGTTGGGTTCACACATCAGTCCACTGAGCTCAGCTGAAATACCTGCAGGAATTTAGAGGGGAGTTAAGAGAACTGTGATTCCTGTTAACCAGTTTCTAAAGAGTGCCCACTGTCATTTCTCTCAAGTGTGTAAGGTCAGTTTCTAGAATGATGCACAGCCCTGATGCTGCCTCCATGCCTTACAGCTGGAAGATCAGACCAGGTCAGTATTCCTAGAGAGCAAAACAGAGGACACATTTTGACAAATGTGCTTATCAGCTTTACAGAGACCTGAAGTTAATGCATCCTCAACTGAACATGGCAACTGAACCATGTTTGAAAATAAATATTTCAGCCATACCTTGATGGGAAAGCTTGAAGGACAGCATCTGCCAGGGCATGGCCTAACATTAGATTCTTCAAGTTCTTGCAAATTGCACAGTTCTCGGAATTTTTAGGGATACCTGTGAACCCTTCCGAGAAATGTTGAATCTTTCCAAAAGATTATCCTCACAATTGTCTGCAGAAATTTTGCCTGAAGATTTTTTTTCATTTTAGATAAAAAATTTAGTGACAACCTAGGGCAGCATTTCTCAAACTGGGGTCTATGGACTCATTGGGGGGGGGGGGTCTGCAAAGGTATTGCAGAAGTTCTACAAATCCCTTGGGAGGATAAAGCCCCTCTCATGTCCATATCAACAGTGTGAAAATTGACCTCTGTTTTTCAGAAGTGGGGCAAATACTCTCAGGGGAAACAGGGCAGAACTGGCGTCTTCCTATTTTGGTAGACAGGAGTGTATGGTGCACCCCATCTTTCAAGTCACCTCCGAGGACTAGCCACAAATATGTTGATTGTTTGCTGGGATCCCACAGCTCAAGAAAGAGAACTCTTAACTGGTTGAGAAGCAACAGAGAAGTATGGTCCTAATGCATTTGTCAAAGTAACTTCCCATATCAAAGCAAACTGGGTTTCACTGTGCTTTCCATTCCAAAGGATTTCAGCAGAGAGAGAGAGGGAGGGAGATGCCATTCTGAATCCACAGCAGTAATAACCAATTGTGATTTTGAACTGAATGCTGGGAGTTCTGGTTTTGTGACACGCCAATCTTTTTCGGTCTCTCTGAGTAGCTCCTAAAGTTTTTCCAGGCCCCTTCCCACCCCTGTCCATCCAGCCTCTAGCTAGAAATGATTAACCCATCAGGGTATTTCCTGATGTCTCCATCGCAAACTCTCTTCTAGTTGAGAGATGAGATTGACTAGAATTTAGGTCAGAGCCTTTTGAACTGCAGATCTACAGAATCAGCTGCCCTTGGAGACCTGACCTAGTAAGCCACGTACAGACAATACAAACATTTCCCTTATACTCAAAGTGTGAACCAGAAGCAGGAGAAGACATCTCATGGACAGGGTGTGTAACATCAGTGCTTTTCCAAGGCCTTACTGCACACCTGATGATGCTCCAAGCCCAAATTTGGCCCGGCTGCCATGCACCAAAACCTGCCATGGCCTTGGTAGCCCTTCCTGGTTTTGCAGTCCAAGACAAGCAGCAAACGGGTGGCTTGTGACTATGCTGGGTTGGTTTCTACAATCACAGCTCCACTAAGGTGGAGGATTGGATCAACAGGATGGGATATGCACAGCTCATGACTTACAGATTCAGATGCCCTGTTTAACTGCCTTCCAGTTGTTTGACAGCTCCCTCCCCCATTTTGTAGGCTCCAGATGAGCAGCAAACAGGGGGCCTTATTCTGCCATGTTTTTCTTTAATCCCAGCTTCCCTCCAAGGAGCATATGGATGCTCACATAGTTCTCCCTGCCTCCCTTTTATCCCCTCAGCAACTCTGTGAAGTAGGTTTAGGAGTGTGTGCATGACTGGCACAAGGATACCCAGTTCACTGCATGGCCAAGAGAATTTGAACTCAGGATTTCCCAGGTTCTATACTCTAACCACTACACCACCTGGCTCTCTTGAGATCTGATGGGTTGCCTTATACTGCCAGTTTGCACAGGCAGACTACCCACAGCTATAGACTATGTATAAGGTTGCCAGTCTCCAGATGGTGGCTGGAGATCTCCCAGAGTTACAACTCTTCTCCAGGTAAAAGGGATCAGTTCTCCTGGAGAAAATGGCTGCTTTGGAAGGTGGACTCTATGGCATTATATCCCACTGAGGTCTCTTCCCTTCTCAGACTCCATCTCAAAACTCTATTCAAGCCTGGCCCTAATGAGTCCTCTCTCAAAGGTCAAAATAGCCAATATGGTACATATGCCACATTGTCAATGACTCACACAAGCCAGGTCTTGCACATAAGATGTGCTGCTGAGTTCTTCTAGACTGACACTGCAGTGTTATATGTGTGTTTGTGTGTCGTTCCAGAGGCAGAAGGGAACAAAGGAGCTCTGACAATAAATACAATTGGGGGGGGGGGTGAGGAACCTGAGTCACTGATTTGTTCAAACAGATGGAAAGCACCCCAGTCAATAAGGCTCAGTGGAAGGCTGAGTGCGGCCTTCGGCTGGCAGCTGTTTCAACTAACTGAGGAAGGAAGAAATAATCAGGATCATGCTCCCCACCAAGAGTGGGCGAAGGAGAGGGATATCTTCAGAGTCTTGGGCTGCTGCTAGAATTTAAACCAGATGATGAGCTCCTAAGGAGGGGATGAGTGATTCTTGAGGGGGGGGAGCAAAAGAATCTCTTGAGCTGGCCCTGGTGATGAACCTGCTGTCAATCAGTTCCCAACAGCTTTCATTCAAAGAAGTAAAGTTTATTGAGACATTGAGAGTATGCAGATTTCTTAACCATTTTGCGTTAGAACTGAAGAAAAACACATGCAGCAAGCATGCCTAGTCAATCAGGGATCAGGTAGAAGCCCGCCAAAATAACGGGCTACTTTTCCCAGGAGAAAGATTACACCAGGCACTGAAGGTCATACAGCGATAATAGAAACACAGAAGACACAGCAGAAATGAAACCTAACATTCCAGTCACCAACTCCCATGGCAGCCAGGGCTTTAAGAAAGGCCTAGCTGACATTCTGCCCCCCCCCCCAAGACTTCACCCACCAGTTTAGTTGGATACATTTTGTGAAAAGCACACACAAGTTTAGGGGCATTAACATTGGATTCTCACACCCATTCATTATGAGAGGGGTCAAAATATTTTCATTTAATTAGAGAGTTACGGCAGCCATGCTTAAGCTTAGAGTTCAGAATTTCTTCCACCTCTTGATGCAGGTCACTATTTACCTTCAGAGGGGATGGGGCTGGTGGTCGAGGTCTCCACTTGTTCAGACCTGGGTCCCATTTCAGCAGACTGAAATGAAATACAGGATGCACATCTTTAAGGGATTTAGGCAAATTAAGTTCAACAGCAACCTCCCCCACTTTGCGCCATACTGTAAAAGGATCAACATATTTCCAACCCAGTTTTCGTCTAGGCTGGAGCCCTTTCAAGTGTTTAGTAGACAAATACACACAGTCCCTGGGTTGTAAATCCCACTCAGGGGCTTGCCCTTTATCAGCAAGAGCTTTGTAATCTGCTTTGGCTTTGTAAGAGTCTTTTGGATGACAGACCACTGGTCCTTCAAGTCTTGCCACCAAGTTTGGAGGTCCCCAGGGCTGGAATCTGAAGTGCCTATAGTGGGCAAAGGGGCACCTTCACATCCATGCATAGCCTTGAAAGGGGACGGTCCAGTGGAGGTATGCATAGAATTATTGTAACCGTACTCTGCATAAGATAACAGTTCAGCCCAATTATCTTGTTGGTAGTTAGTAAAGCAGTATAAGAAACTGCTCAACTATTTGATTGACCCGTTCAGTTTGTAAGAACATAAGAGAAGCCAATGTTGGATCAGGCCAATGGCCCATCCAGTCCAACACTCTGTCACACAGTGATCAAAAATACCAGGTGCCATCAGGAGGTCCAGCAGTGGGGCCAGGTCCATCAGTCTCTGGGTGATGGGCACTGCTGAGCCCCCTCATAATACCTAAGACCTATAAGAGCTCCTTCCAAAATCGGGCAATGAACTGGGCTTCTCGGTCAGATATTATTTTGCTAGGCACTGAATGCAGCC